AACTGTGAGAGCTGTTCAGCAGTGGAACTCTCTGCTCCAAAGTGTGGTGGAGGCTCCTTCTATGGAGGCTTTCAAACTGAGGATGGATGGCTATCTGCTGGGGGTGCTTTGAATGCGATTGTCCTGCTTCTTGGCAGAAAGGGGTTGGACTGGATGATGGGCCACCATGTCTCTTCCAACTCATCTAGGATTCTAGGATTCATCCCCATAGAATAGAGTAGCGTGATTGTCATTGTCCTCTTGCACAGCGATATTGTATTCTCCGTTCTGCTTGTGCCTGTCCGTGTCCGGCTGACCCTTTGTCCGCGTGTTGCAGGTGGAGGTGGAGGTGGAGAGCATGGACAAGGCGGGCAACTTCATCGGCTGGCTCCACGTTGACGGGGCCAACCTCTCCGTGGCGCTGGTGGAGCAGGCCCTCTCCAAGGTCCACTTCACGGCCGAGCGCAGCAACTACTACAAGCCACTGGTGGCCGCCGAGGAGGCCGCCAAGCAGCGCAAGGAGAAGGTAGGCCACCAAAGGAGGGGGGGGTGGGGGGCCCACAGGACCTCTCCTTGACAGTATCGGCACTCAGGGCCCGGTCGGAGGGCAAGCAGAAGGAGGCCTGCCTTTCCCTTCTTGCTGCCTGAGGACCCAACATAGGATGCCCCTTGCAGGTGGGCAATGCTTGTCCTGCTTCACTTACCTGTGTGCCATTACCTGCATGAGGTGTAAGACAAGACCCTTCTGCTGACCCCCCCCCCTTTGGCCCTTTTCTGGTCACCTCTTCCCAGCCTGCCATTTATTTACTATATTTATTTACTATATTTCGATACCATCCCTCTCAGCCCGCAGGCGACTCGGGGTGGTTCACAGTTGGTACCAAGGCCATAAAATACTATTAAAAACATTAAAAAAAATATAAAACCATCGCCAAGTCAATAACAAACATATATCATTACTAGCCGTCCCCTGCCACTCGTTGCTGTGGCCCACATGAGGGTTCTGTGTGGGAAGTTTGGCCCAATTCTATCATTGGTGGGGTTCAAAATGCTCTGTGATTCCAGGTGAACTATAAATCCCAACAACGACAACTCCCAAATGTCAAGATTCTATTTTCCCCAAACACCAGTGTTCACATTTGGGCGTATTGAGTATTTGTGTAGAGTTTGGTCCAGATCCATCATTGTGATCTCTGGATATAGGTGAACTACAACTCCAAAATCAAAGGACACTGCCCACCAAACCCTTCCAGTATTTTCTGTTGGTCATGGAAGAACTGTGTACCAAGTTTGGTTCAATTCCATCATTGGCAGGGTTCAGAATGCTCTTTCATTGTAGGTGAACTATAAATCCCAGTACTACAACTCCCAAATGTCAAGGTCTATTTCCCCCAAACTCCATCTGTGTTCATATTTGGGCATATTGAGTGGTTGTGCCAAGTTTGGTCCAGATCCATCATTGTTTGAGTCCACAGTGCTCTCTGGGTGTAGGTGAACTACAACTCCCAAACTCAAGGTCAATGCCCAGCAAACGCTGCTAGTATTTTCTGTTTGTCGTGGGAGTCCTGTGTGCCAAGTTTGGGTCAATTCCATCATTGGTGGAGTTCAGAATGCTCTTTGATTGTAGGTGAACTATAAATCCCAGCAACTACAACTCCCAAATGACAAAATCATAATTTTTGGTCACTCCTTGTGTTGTGAGATGTTTTGTTGCCAAATTTGGTGTGATTTCGTTCATTGGTTCTTTTGTTTTTAAGGCACTCATTATGACATGAGCATATATATATATATATATAGATTATTATAAACATTAGAAAACATTTATCTCAATATTAAAATACACCACTTAAAACCGTCCTAGCCATCCGCATCAAATCCAATTGGCTTGCTCATCTTTCCCACTGCCGATTCATTGCCCTGTCCAGAAAGCTTGGTCAAGTTTTGACCATCCTTCTAAAGGACAGGAGGGAGGGGGCCGGCCAGATCTCACCAGGAAGGGAGTTCCATAGCTGGGGAGCCATCACCGAGAAGGCCCTGTCTCTCGTCCACACCAATCGTACCTGTGACAAAGCAGGGCCTCCCCGGAGGATCTTAATCTCCGCGATGGTTCAAAGGGGGAGATGCGTCCGGACAGGTAATTTGGACCGGGGCCGTCAGAACAGGAAAGACAAATATCACTTAAGTGAAATAAACATTAAATATTAAATAACCAGAAAAATATAATAGAATCATAGAATCCTAGAATCCAAGAGTTGGAAGAGACCTCCTGGGCCATCATCCAGTCCAACCCCGTTCTGCCAAGAAGCAGGAATATTGCATTCAAATCACCCCTGACAGATGGCCACCCAGCCTCTGTTTCAAAGCTTCCAAAGAAGGAGCCTCCACCACACTCCCTCCGGGGCAGAGAGTTCCACTGCTGAACGGCTCTCACAGTCAGGAAGTTCTTCCTAATGTTCAGGTGGAATCTCCTTTCTTGTAGTTTGAAGCCATTGTTTCGTGTCCTAGTCTCCAGGGAAGCAGAGGGTTAGGTAATCCAATTAGGTAAAAAGATAAGCAGGAACCTTAGAATCATAGAATCATAGAACCAAAGAGTTGGAAGAGACCTCATGGGGCATCCAGTCCAACCCCATTCTGCAAGAAGCAGGAATATTGCATTCAAATCACCCCTGACAGATGGCCATCCAGCCTCTGCTTAAATGCTTCCAAAGAAGGAGCCTCCACCACACTCCCTCCGGGGCAGAGAGTTCCACTGCTGAACGGTTCTCACATTCATGGGCCATCATCCACTCCAACCCCATTCTGCCAAGAAGCAGGAATATTGCATTCAAATCACCCCATCCAGCCTCTGTTTCAAAGCTTCCAAAGAAGGAGCCTCCACCACACTCCCTCCGGGGAAGGCAGAGAGTTCCACTGCTGAACGGTTCTCACAGTCATGGGCCATCATCCAGTCCACCCCCATTCTGCCAAGAAGCAGGAATATTGCATTCAATTCACCCCTGACAGATGGCCATCCAGCCTCTGCTTAAAAGCTTCCAAAGAAGGCGCCTCCACCACCCTCCCTCCGGGGCAGAGAGTTCCACTGCTGAACGGCTCTCACAGTCAGGACGTTCTTCCTCATGTTCAGGTGGAATGTTCATAATGGGCTCCGCTTGCAGAAAATGCTGGGCCCATAACCTATAGGTTTTTAAAGATAGGAGATTTGGTCTCCTCCCTTAATAATAGCCATGCCAGCTCCAAGGGCCCCTCTTTCCCTTAGAGACCAGCTGATGTGGCCCCTGGCTTCCTTCCGGCCGCCTGCCCATCCGCATTTGCACCCAGTTCCGGGGAGCGCAAGAGGAAGGCCTTCCCAAACCCTTGCGCGCATAGAATCCCACGGGCCAATTAGTCCAACCCAACTAGTCAAGGTGGTCAGTTGAAACATTCCCACCTAGCTCCAGCAGACAAGAGTCCTTTGCCCCACCCTGGTCATTATTCCACAGATATCTAAACCCTTTTTTCCTAGTTCCCACAGACCTCACTCCCTCTGAGGATGCTTGCCATAGATGCAGGCGAAACATCAGGAGAGAATGCCTCTAGAACATGGCCATGTAGCCTGAAAAAACCTACAACAACCCAGTGATTCCAACCATGAAAGCCTTTGACAATACATTCAACCAGGGACAGCTAATCACCTCTCAACAAAAGATTGCCCCAGGCACTAACAAGCCACACCAAACAACTGCCAGGCCATGAAATGGCAATCAAGGTGGTTAGCTGAAACATTCACACCTAGCTCCAACAGACAAGAGTCCTTTGTCCCACCCTGGTCATTCCACAGATATCTAAACCCTTTTTTCCTAGTTCCAACAGACCTCACTCCCTCTGAGGATGCTTGCCATAGATGCAGGTGAAACGTCAGGAGAGAATGCCTCTAGAACATGGCCATATAGCCTGAAAAAACCTACAACAACCCAGTGATTCCAACCATGAAAGCCTTTGACAGTACAAGTCCAACCCCTGTTTAAAAGCCTCCAAGGAAGGAGCTTCCACTGGACTCAGTGGCAGAGAGTTCCACTGCTGAACAGCTCTTCT